CTGCTTCCCTATCTCCCTTCTTCCCTATGTCCCTTCTTCCCTGCTTTCTTTATTTGTTTTCCCTCTTCCCTCCCCCCCCCCCATCCCTCTCTCCCCTCTTCCCTGTCTCCCCTCTTCCCTGTTTTATCTCTTCCCTGTTTTCTCTTTTCCATAACCCCCCTCTTCCCTGTTTTCCCTCTTCCCTCCCTATCCGCCCCCACAATTCCTCTCCCCTCTTCCCTATTTCCCCTCTTACCTGTTTTCTCTCTTTGCTATCCCTCCCTATTTCTCTCTCACCTCTTCCCTATTTTTCCACTTCCCAATTTTCCCCCATCCCTCTCTCCCCTCGCTATTTCAGAGACTACACTGAAGTTTTTTCTTGCCTCAACTCGTTTCACCCCATGATTCCATCGCATAATCATTGAGTAATCAGTTCCCTTCATTTGTTTCCAATGCCTAGGCTCATTAGTATGGTACCGTAAACGCCCGGATATAAGACAGTGTTGAATAGTAGACAGGGGTTGTCTACTATACGGGTGTCTCTTATAAACAGGCTAGCCTCATTATAAGACACCTATTTGTGTGTACGAGATAAGACATATATGTCTTATAATCGAAACTTCAATATATTATAGCGAAAGTTGAAATAACGCGTACATTTTTACCCTTGCGAAGCGCGAATTTCTCGACGCGCTGACCCAGGACCTACCTAATTTGCCTCTGCAGGTGTTCTCCATGACGTGGCGTCCCGGGCAGTGGTTGCCGAAGTGGCACCCTCGCAACATCCACACTCGTTACGAGGAACTCTTTTTCAAGAAGTACGGAAAATATTTCTAAGTAGTTTAAAAAGTTTCCATTTATAAGACTTATAAGACACCCTAAACCATCCCGTTTACAAGATAACTCAAGCATTTTTGCCCGTGTACGAGATAAGACATATATGTCTTATATCCGGGCGATGACGGTATTACTCCCCTTAGCCCTTGCCTCTTAGAAAAAGCATGGTACGAACATGCCTCTTTTTGTGACAACTTTACTGCCCAAGCATTTTGGAAGAATGCCGGTATCTTGCACTGCTGAAAACATTAGTACATTTGGGCATTTGAGATGCATATCTCCAACAGTAAAACAGTGCCATGCTTGCGTAAAACACACACGAAACAGGTGGTGGTATAGACCACCCACTAGCTGCGCCACATCTTGCAACTGTTGCTCCTCTACTTCACTGCAAACTAGAGTAGGCAGAAAGGATACCAGTGTGAAGGAACATCGGGGAGATGGTGTGAGGTGGAAGGGAACAATGGCAAGGGAATACAAGCAAGTGCACATGGTGAAGGCATGTATGGGGAGACAGTGATGGCAGCACATGCATGAAAGGGAAGGGAAGCGAGGAGAAGGAATAAGGAAAGGAAGGGCAATTGGGAGAGCGGGGATGGAAGGGAGGGCATGGGAAGAGCGGGGCAGGGATGGAAGGGCAGGAATGGGGAGGACAGATGGGTGGAATGTGAGGGGGAAGGCAGGTGGTATGCTGTGAGGAAGGTGGTTGGCATGTGGAGGCAAACTGGGGGGTATGCGGGGGAGGAAAGAGGAAAGAGTGAGGGAAGGTGGGTGTAATGTCAGGGGGAATTCAGGGGGAAAAGACTGGTGGTACGAGAGGGAGGAAGGAGGCGAGTGGAGGGGCAGGGAGAATGGGGACAGGGAGAATGGGGACAGGGAGAATGGGGACAGGAGAATGGGAACAGGGAGAATGGGGACAGGAGAATGGGAACAGGGAGAATGGGGACAGGGAGAATGGGAACAGGGAGAATGGGAACAGGGAGAATGGGGACAGGGAGAATGGGAACAGGGAGAATGGGGACAGGGAGAATGGGAACAGGGAGAATGGGAACAGGGAGAATGGGAACAGGGAGAATGGGAACAGGGAGAATGGGGACAGGGAGAGGGGGACAGGGAGAGGGGGACAGGGAAGGGGGGGGGGACAGGAAGAAGGGGACAGGGAAGGGACATGGGAAGAACGGGGGACAGGGAAGGGGGGGACAGGGAGAAGGGGGACAGGGGCTGGGGACAGGGAGACGGGTAGGGGGAAGCAGGGTAGAGGGTGGGGGGAAGCAGGTCTTAGGATGGGGGGAAGCAGGGCAGGGGATGTGGGGAAACAGGGAAGAGGATGGGGGATACGGGGGCAGATGCCGGGGAGAGAGCAGGCGGGGAGCAGGGCAGAGAATGGGGGGAGGAGGGAGAGAGGTAAGCAGTGTGGGGGAGGGGTATAAGTGGGGCGAAGGAAGGCGAGTATTGGGTGGGGAGAAAAGGTTGGGTGACAAGGGTGCGAGATGGGAAGGGAGACGGGAGGGAAGGCGAGGGCGGAAGCAGGGAAGGGGATGGGTGGAAGCAGGGTAGGGGACATGGGGAAGCAGGGAAGGGGATGGGTGGAAACAGGGTAGGGGACATGGGGAAGCAGGGAAGGGGATGGGGGGAAGCAGGGAAGGGGATGGGGGGAAGCAGGGAAGGGGATGGGGGAAATCAGGGAAGGGGACATGGGGAGGCAGGGAAAGGGGACATGGGGAAGCAGGGAAGGGGATGGGTGGAAACAGGGTAGGGGACATGGGGAAGCAGGGAAGGGGATGGGGGGAAGCAGGGAAGGGGATGGGGGGAAGCAGGGAAGGGGATGGTGGAAATCAGGGAAGGGGACATGGGGAGGCAGGGAAAGGGGACATGGGGAAGCAGGGAAGGGGATGGGGGGAAGCAGGGAAGGGGATGGGGGGAAGCAGGGAAGGGGATGGGGGAAATCAGGGAAGGGGACATGGGGAGGCAGGGAAAGGGGACATGGGGAAGCAGGGAAGGGGATGGGTGGAAACAGGGTAGGGGATGGGGGGAAGCAGGGTAGGGGATGGGGGGAAGCAGGGTAGGGGATGGGGGGAAGCAGGGTAGGGGGCATGGGGAAGCAGGGAAGGGGACATGGGGAGGCAGGGAAAGGGGATGGGAAACAGGGTAGGGGATGGGGGAAAGTAGGGAAAGGATGGGGGGAAGCAGGGAAGGGGATGGGGGGAAGCAGGGAAGGGGATGGGGGGAAGCAGGGTAGGGGGCATGGGGAAGCATGGAAGGGGACATGGGGAGGCAGGGAAAGGGGACATGGGGAAGCAGGGAAGGGGATGGGGGGAAGCAGGGAAGGGGACATGGGGAAGCAGGGAAGGGGATGGGGGAAATCAGGGAAGGGGACATGGGGAGGCAGGGAAAGGGGACATGGGGAAGCAGGGAAGGGGATGGGTGGAAACAGGGTAGGGGATGGGGGGAAGCAGGGAAGGGGATGGGGGGAAGCAGGGAAGGGGACATGGGGAGGCAGGGAAAGGGGACATGGGGAAGCAGGGAAGAGGATGGGGGGAAGCAAGCAGGGAAGGGGTTGGGGGAAAGCAGGGAAGGGGATGGGGGGAAGCAGATGATGGGGGCAAGAGGGAGAGAGGTAAGCAGTGTGGGGGCGATTGGCTATCATTGGGAGGAGGGAAGGGCGTGTGTAGGGGTAGAAAAGAGAGGGTGACAAGGTTGCGATGGGAAGGGAGACGGGAGGGATGGCGAGGGCGACGCGGCGTGGATGGCAGGGAGACGGGGAAAAAGAGGAGACCGGGAAGCGAGGGCGACGGGGAGATAGGGAGACGGGGATGGCGCGGGGATGAGCTGGAGGGAGGGCGACGAGACGAAGGGAGGGCAACGGGTGGGAGGGAGAGCGACGTGCGGATGGGCGGGGCGACGGGCGGAAGGGAGGGCGACGCGCGGAAGGGAGGGCGTCGAGCGGATGGGAGTGCGGCGAATGGATGAGAGCGACGGGAGGAAACGTGAGCGAGGTACGAAAGCGTGCGCGGCGTAAAGAAGGGAGGGCGACGAGCGGAATCGTGGACGACGAGGGAAGCGTGGGCGGTTTATGTTGAAGCGTGGGCGACGAATCGTGGACGACTCGAGGACGTGGGCGGCATAGATGAAGCGTGGGCGACGAGAGGAATTATGGTAATCGTGGAGAAGCGTGGGCGGCGTAGGTGAAGCGTGGGCGAAAATCAGAAACAGGGCGACGAGTGGCATTGTGAACGACGAGAGCGAGTAATGGGAGCCAAGGAACTGTAGGCGTTACGGCGTCACGAGGGCGACTGGTTGAACGTAAGCGAGCAGCAACCTAACCCTAGACCAATGAGAATGTAGCAGGAGCATGCCGCGCGTGTTCGTACATGAGTTTGGGGTGAAAAGGAGTGATTTCTATGAGCGTGAATGACGGGTGAACCAGGTATAGGATGCTTGCCATTTAGTACAAGATGGTTTTCAAGTTTACTGAGCGTGAGCGTGAACAGTGTTGCACTGCCAGCGCACCCCCAAACCGGTGTGACTTCGAGTGTCGCTGGCCAATCACGGATCCCTGTCGCACACTACTCCCCCTTGATCGTGAAGAAAAGTTCAACTTTAGGTGGTAACATGGTGTTTGGCGAATTCATATTCAAGAATCTTGAATATGAAAACAGCCATGTAGAACTCGGGCTTTAACTCTCGAAACGTGTCCATTTTGCACAAAGAATTTTTGGACGGGGCAAAAAAACATAATACTCCAGGGAAACCAGGACACTTTTTCGGGAGGGATCAACCCTAAACACGGGAACCCGCCCGGTGTTTAGGGTTGATCGCTCCCGTAGAGTTGGACTTTCTGGGTGAACTCAGAACTAAATTTGAGATATTTTTGAAACTAAGCTGGGATGTACTTTCCCTAAATCTTTCTACAGACAGCTTTTCGACAATTTGGCCTTGAGCTTTAATGGTTGTGAAGTGCGTAGGGCATGTGTTTCCCATTCCCACGCCACGCCTTTTCACGTCATTGGAGACTGGATGGTGTTCGGACACCTCTAGGATTCCCTTGTTTAGGATGTCCAAATGTTCGACCATAAAAGCGACCAAACGCTTGTTCATAAGGATGTTCCACGCCCTAATTTCCCGCCTGCGTGCTCAACTTGGGTCGTATAGTTCTCTGACTCGTTGCCTTTCGGCCCTTAACCATGAGGCAGCCTCTTCTGTCTCCGCAAGATGCGGAGCTGGGAGCGGCGAGATCGTCAAGAGCACCGGCGCCGCCACTTGACGCCGCCGACGGCGACGGAGGCGGAAATCCGAGCTCCGATATTCGGGACACGCATGTACAAGGAAACGCGGCTCGTTCCGCAGACGCAGATGGAGGCGGCGCGGACTCCTCCTTAGGTCACTCTCACTACTCGCACCGATCGCCATGGCTACGTGCCGCGCTCCTCGGATCTAACGACGGTCTAGTTTCCATTACCTCCTTAATGCTCGGAGTCGGCGCTGTAGACACCTCCCGAACGATAATGGTTATATCGGGGCTGTCGGGGCTTATAGCGGGGGCGTGCAGCATGGCTATTGGCGAGTACATTTCGGTATACGGCCAGCGCGACTCGGAGGAGGCGGATCTGAAAAAAGAGCGGGAAGAATTCGAGAAGGGGCCCGAGGCGGTAGCGCTGGAGTTGACCGAGCTGACGCAGATCTACGTGGCGCGCGGAGTGCCGTACGATCTGGCGCGGCAGGTGGCGGAGGCGTTACATGCGAGTGATCCAATAAGGGCACACGCGAGAGAGGAACTGGGGATTGACTTGGATGACTTGTCGGATCCGGGGCAGGTGAGGTTCGGCCGAGTGGTTATGGGTGGAAGTGCTTCGGAATGCGTGCGAGTGAACGGGAAAGGATGGGGATGGATATAGATTGCATAAATTTATCAACTTGTGGAATATTTATGGACGGCAATGGAAGGAAATGGAGGCAGTGGATTAAAATGGATGGCAATGGATGCGAATGGGTGGGAATCTATGGTCATTGGATGGGAATGGATGGGCATTGCATGGGAATGGATGGCCATTGCATGGGAATGGATGCGATGGGAGTGGATGGGAGATGGCATCACAATCAGGTGGAATCAGGCCATGAGAGCCCATCATACAATTTCTACTCCCATATGCCTCCTGTCCCCCTTCGCCTAACGCCCTCCCTCCCTCTTTCGCCCATCCAGTCCTTTTCTGGATCACTCACCCTCTCCCTTATTCACAAACTGCTGCTTCTTCGCTTATTCGTTACAGACCTGTAGAAGCAGTCCTTTCATGCCTTCCCTCCCCCCCCCCTGTCCACCTCTGGAGGAGGCACTGGTTTCGGCCGTATCCATTTCTGCGAGTAATATCTTCCCTCCTCTCAGGCTGCTGTATCACAGACTCATTTAAGCCCCCATTACTTAAACAGTCTCCCCATCCCCCCCACCCCCACCTGTGCAGGCGGCAGTGGTTTCAGCTATCTCTTTCTTTCTAGGGGGAATCCTTCCCCTCCTTTCAGGCTGCTTCATTACAGATTACAAGGCGCGCATAACTGTACTTGTCGCCCTATCCACCACGCTCTTTGTCTTTTTGGGCGCGCTCGGCGCGTGGCTGGGCGGCGCATCTCAAGTCCGGGCGGCACTGAGGACGACTGTGGGCGGCTGGCTGGCCATGGCGATCACCTACTCGGTCGTGTGGGCTTTCGGTACTTCAGGTGTTTAGTTAAGTGTGCACTTAGATCTGCAGCCGGCAGGGTGAGGAGGAGGGGTGGTCTTTTCAACTTGATCCAGGTGCAAGGCATCAGGTGTGCATATGCAGCTGTGCAGCATGCAGGAGTTGAGATGTGTGGAGTGCGGTTTTGGAAGCGGAGATTCCAGGCATGGTCTTGACTCTTGACTCTTTACTCTTGACCCTTGGGTCTTGGAAGTTGAAAGCGCAGACCCCAGGTGTGGGCGTAGTGTGTGGGCGTTGGGGAGTGCAGTGCATGGGTTCAGACAGAAGTGCGTTGCAGGCACCAGCCTTCAGTAGTCTTCAAGTCTTCAGTTTCCGAGACAGCTCGGCAGTTGTGAAGCTCCATATAGAGGCGCCCTTATAACGAACATGGAGTGTATGAGGGAAAGCTTACAAATACGATCTACTGGTGTGGATCTACCATAGGTTTAGAACAGCCGTTTTCGCCTTTCATTGCTAGTCGGTGATGGCTCACACTATGAATACATATGGGCTAAATGGGGGAATATAACCAATCCCTTATGCAAAGGCTAAAGGGGGGAATATTAGCAGCCGTATGTGTACTTTCTGCACAGTAACTTGCTTAAGCGAGGTACTTAACCGCATCTGCTCGGCAAGCTCTCTGTACCGGATTCCAACCAACCATGCCTCATGCAATGGCTGCTGCTGAACCAAGCAGGGTGTCAAGAGAATGGGCGCAGTAACAGGGTAGCCTGACTGCAACCATTGGGAGTCCAGAGTTAAGTTGACTCAGCCGCAAAGCACAGTGCACCGCAGACCCGTCGAGTCGATTCAAATCTGGAGTTCACTCGGAACACTGCGTAGGGCTTTGGCATTCCCAGCAGAGTCCACTCAGAACACGGCATAGGCATGAGCATGCCTGGCTGTGCTGACAGCAGCACCATAGCGCCACGCTGCCTTTGGATAGGCACTTGGTGAATCGACTCAGATCAGAACACAGCATAGGCATGAGCATGCATCGCTGTGCTGACAGCAGCACCATAGCGCCATGCTGCGTTCTTGGATGGGGCGTTGTGAGGCAGCTGGCTCATAGGCGTGAGCGGGTCTGTGGGTTGTATGCCTGGAAGAATGTTGAGAAGGGGATATGGGGACAGGGAAGTGAGATGTAGGAATGTGAGGGGAAAAGGGAGGATGGGAAGTCAGGTTGCAAAGGGGCTATATGCTGGCGCATGCATTAGATGTACCGCAGTATGTAAGAATTATTTCCCTTGGTTGAGGAGCAGTGCAAGGCATTGAGAAGCGGTACAAGAAGCACCTGACATGGAAGAGAGAAAACGAGGGAGAATCTAAAAAGCGAGAGAGAATCTAATACGGAGGTGGAGAGGTTACCTAATTCTGAGGTGATGAGATTACCTAATCCAAAGGAGATGAGATGACCTAATCCAAAGGAGATGAGATTACCTAATCCCGAGGTGAGGAGGTGGAAGAGGTAGCTTGCATCTAGACAGGCGTACGGCGCATCCTGGCCGTCCAACAGTGGAAACTTCCTGGTGACTTCCTGCAGGGGAACGCCGCATGTTTCCTCTGCTATCCGAGCAAAGTGTTGAGCCGTGATGGGTGCTGCGATGGTTGCTGCCGTGGCTTCGGCGGTGGAGTTGCTGCGAGGGATAAGCCCAAACTGCTTATAAAGGGGATGGGCGATAGTGACACAGATGCGAACAGCAATAGAAAATCAGTGGATGTTAAGCGTTCGATGAAGCTGTTGCAAAGTTTGTGTAATACACGCGTGGAGGTGAACGTGAGGTCCCAGGGGTTCTAACCCTTGGAGAAATCATGGCGACTCAGGGATGATGCAGGACAAATTCCGAGGACAATGCAGTGCAAATGTGATCATAAATTTTGGGGGCTTGAGGGGCCGTCGAGTTTCTAGGGAACCAGCGTTTACCCAGGGAACCAGCACAAGTGGTATACGCTTGGGGCTTGAGTTGAGGGGCCGTAAGTTCCACCTTTCACCCCCCAAGCTTGTTGTGCGCCGTCACAGAAGCCGCGGTGGTGACTATCTGCTCCGCCCCCTCTCCTCCGCCTCCGCCCACATACCATCCTCCCTCCATGTGCCCTTGTTGCCAGCATTGTTCGTGAGAACTCTCAAAAGCAACACAAGCAGGCACAGCCCACCTGGCGCGCAGAGATGATAGGTTGTGTTTGAGACGTGACGTCTCAAAAGCAATCTATTACGGTATCAAGCACACCCCACCTGGTGTTGCACCCACCTGGTGTTGCACCCACCTGGTGTTGCACCCACCTGGTGTTGCACCCACCTGGCGCACCGAGTCAAAAAGAGCCGAGGAGGCGATGACCAGCCGCTGTGTGCCCTCCCCTCCTCTGCCTCCTCTGGGCGCACCCCACATGCCATCAAGCACGGAAGGAAGCAAGCACGAGCGACCATAAGGGCACACAGGTGACGCTTGAGTCGACTCAAAAGTTGGCCTCAGCATGGGATTGGACAAAGCATGGCCGAATGCCGGGTGGGTACCCGCTTGGGTGTCAGCATAAGCCGCATCACGGGCCGAGAGGGAAGCAGTATTAGTGCTGGCGGCGGTGGTGGCCGCATCTGCTGCTGCCTCTGCTGTTGCTGCTGCTGCCGCCACCTGGAGTGCTTGGAGGGTGGCCTTGGAGCAGAGGGCTGTATGCAAGGAGGCAGGAGTGCTGTCACTGCCTTGCTTTGATGCGCCTGGAATGGAGTGGGTGGGTGGGTGGCGTGGCGTGTGGGTGTGTTTTCAGTCAACTCAGAACACTCTCAGACGTGCATGGAATGGGATGGAATGGAATGGAATGGGATGGGATGGGATGGGATGGGTGGGTGGGTGGTTGGAGGGGTGACGAGATGCTGTAATGCAATGGGCTGAAGCGTTTCAGTGTAATCACATGCCTACAAGGGATAGTAAGAGGCAGAGGGGCATGTGGCAGGAAGGGTGGGCATGTGGCAGGGGAGGGGGGCATGTAGGGGAGGCGGGCATGTAGGGGAGGCGGGCATGTGATGAAGTAATGGCACTGAAGGCATGCAAAGGCATGCGGGAAGCAGGCACCATAATAATGCCGAGAGCATGCATACTCTGGATGTGCACCCAAGCCTACCATGACCGCCCATGTGCATGCATGCATGGCCATACCATGAGCACCCATGTGCATGCATGCATGGGCCTGGGTGTCGTTACTTGCCCGCAGCACCATTGCTCTCCCTGCCATCAGCCCATAGCCCTGAATGCTGGTGCCGTGGTGGGGAGCGGTGCAGAGGGATGGAGATGGGGAAACAGCCACGGGCATGGCCTGGATGATTACCGCAGCGCCTTAAAAAACACACCGGCCCACAATCTGAGGTGCCTCAAGAATGGTTATTAGAGCATGTAGCTAACCTTATCGTGCATCCTGCTCGCACATGGCATCATTAGAATCCCTCCACCCTCCCCTTCCCCCCCTTTCTTTTCTCATGCCTCTCCCTCCCTTCCTCATTCCTATCCCTCTCAACCTGCAGCCCTGAATGCACGCACAAGTTATTGACAAATTCCCGCCCCCCACTCGCCCCCCACTCGGCCCCTCCTCTCACCTGCGCACATAGACGTGGTGGGTGCTTCCTAAACCGCTCAGTCTCCTCACGTGTCCAGCTGGCACCTTATCCGCCACGTCAGCAGGAACTGCATATGCCACGTGGACGCTGGTATTCCCCAGGTCCACCACTGCCACTGTTGACTCCAGGTGGTTTTTCAGGTGCTTTTCCTTGTGCTTTCCCAGGTTGCCCAGGAGATGGTTCACAGCTGTCTGGATAACACGGGGAGGGGGGGGGGAAGAACCAGTGCCTTGATATGCAGTGCCTTGATATGCAGTGCCATGCACCATGCCATGGACCATGCCATGCACCATGCCATGCCATGCCATGCACCATATGTATACCCCATATGAATGCACCATATGTATGCACCATATGTATGCACCATATGTATGCACCATATGAATGCACCATATGTATGCACCATATGAATGCACCATATGAATGCACCATATGAATGCACCATATGTATGCACCATATGTATGCACCATATGTATGCACCATATGTATGCACCATATGAATGCACCATATGTATGCACCATATGTATACCCCATATGAATGCACCATATGAATGCACCATATGTATGCACCATATGTATGCACCATATGTATGCACCATATGAATGCACCATATGTATGCACCATATGAATGCACCATATGAATGCACCATATGAATGCACCATATGTATGCACCATATGTATGCACCATATGTATGCACCATATGAATGCACCATATGTATGCACCATATGAATGCACCATATGAATGCACCATATGAATGCACCATATGTATGCACCATATGTATGCACCATATGAATGCACCATATGAATGCACCATATGAATGCACCATATGTATGCACCATATGTATACACCATATGTACGCACCATATGTATACACCATATGTACGCACCATATGTATGCACCATATGTATGCACATGCTCCCCCATGGCCTGGTCACAACAACACCCTTGCTCATCCACACGCCATCCCTCTCTATCTTCCCCGTATCTCCCCCACAGCCTCCCACCGGCCTCCTCTCTTGCCACCCCCTCCGCTCGCCCCACCCACCCAGGAGTAAAAGCCCTCGTCAGTGTCATCAGGTGTCATTTAAGTCGACTCAAAACACACCTGCCTCCTCCCTCGCCCCCATCTCTCCCCCTGCCTCCCCCAAACTTCTCCCCTCCCTCCCCCCTGCCTAGCCCCTCCCTCGCCCCTGCCTCCCCCCTGCCTCGCTCCTCCCTCGCCCCTCCCTCGCCCCTCCCTCGCCCCTCCCTCGCCCCTCCCTCGCCCCTCCCTCGCCCCTCCCTCGCCCCTCCCTCGCCCCACCCACGCACCCAGGCAAAGAAGCCCTCATCAGTGTCATCAAGCATGCTGATGTCACCATGGCTGAACGGGAAGGGGTACTCCGTCAGCAATTGGCGGATCTGAGGGGGAGAGAAGGGGTGGGGAAAGGGGAGGGGGGAGGTGGGTAAGGCCGGGTTAGGGGGAAAGGAGGCAGAATTTCCTTCTGGGTTCAACTGAAAGTAAAAAAGTAAATGGAGGGAGAGAAGAAGGGAACACGGACGATATCCACTTTTTTTTTTTTTTTTTTTTTTTTTTTTTTCTATTCTTATCTGCTCCACCAATGACGCCTCTAAATTGCCGCAAGGGCTGCTGCACTGAATACTAAGCATCATGCCATCTCATCCCTCCCTCAAATCCTCCCCCCACACCCGCCTACCTCCGAATTTTCAGTCGACTTAAACATCAGCTCAGTTTTGAGGCGCCTCAAAACTAGACACCCAAGAAGTAACTTTTCCAGTCGATTCAATTCTTAGTTGAAAAGTTATTTGTTGTCATGCCATCCTTTCACTCGTCTCTCTCTCTCACCTACCTGCCGCCTCCCTTCCCCCATTCACAGCCTGCCCAAGGCTCCTGAATCCAAAACCCGGAACCCCAAGCCTCACCTCTGCAAGGATCTTGTCTGCCCACTCTCCTGACAGCTGTCCCTTCCCTCCAGAGGCGACAGCTGTGTCAGGTGACAGCTGTCACCTGGCTGAGCCCAAAACCCAGAGCCCCAAGCCTCACCTCTGCAAGGATCTTGTCTGCTTGGTCGCCTGGGAGCGATCCCTGCCCTCCAATGGCCTGCCATGCATACAGTCACACTCGCATAAGATCACCATGCGATACGGGTAAGCATATGTGATACATGTCAGCAAATGCGATACAGGTCAGCATATGCGATACAGTCAGGCAGAAAGAGGATCACCAAGCGAGTACAACCACAATAAAGCGCATCATTTTACCCTGACAAGGTTGGGGGCAACCAGCAGCGTACCCTGACAAGAATGGGTGTGATTGGTCGAGTGAACTCGGGCACGGCTTTAAGTGCCTTCTTCATCAGCGGTCGCAGGCTGTTTGCTGCTGCTGTGACATTATCCCAGTAAGCACCCAACCCGGGTTTCACCTGTCATGACAACCAACAGCGTGAGGAGTGCATAAGAGTGGCTTTAAGTGCCTTCTTCATTCCATTGCGTTGCTTGGGGACCCCTCCACAATTAACTACAAAGGAAAACTGTTAATAATAACTCCAGGAGAACAAGAAGCTAGCGTGGAAGTGAGAAGGAAGTATGAGCATGAACAAGGAACCCACTGATTCCACCTTTGAAAGGTGAAGTTCAGAAGATCAGAGGAGCAGAGGATCAGAAGAGTCTCACCGAATGCACCACTTCAAACCCTTTCTGAATCTCCCCCAGCTCCATCCGCGAATCAAATCTGTACACGTGGACGCTGCTGCTCTCCGTGTTCACAGCGTCAACAACAACAGCATACGTGTCCCCTTCCCCCTCCCCACCACCACCACCACTGGTACCACTTTCACCGCCCGCCACCATCTTAATCGCCGTCGACTTCCCCTTCTCGCGCATGTTTCTTATTCTTCCGTCGCGTGACGAGCCGTCGCGATCCGGCGCGCTTCCGCCATGGCCGGAGGATCTGCCGTGCGCGCCGATTAGGGTAGGGGAGCCGTTGTCGTTGTCGGAGGCGGGAATGAGGACGAAGACGAAGAGGATTAGCGCCACGAGTGCCACCGGAATGGCCGCTACGAGCGCGACGCGACGCGATCGCACCACGCGCTCTCGCGCGGAATCCTGCCGCCGCGCCACGACCATTGACGGGTCTAATTGGAAGTGGGATTTTTTTTTTCGGATGCTAGAAAACAGGCTAGTTAGAGACAGATTCGTTGAACGACATCGGCTTTCCACGTCATGTTGACAATGCGACGCGACAGCACTAGCATGCCTGACTACAGCGACGTGGGCAGGCCCTAGGAAAATCTACTAGCGACTCGAGTCGGACAAATTGCCATTCAAACGGTTGGGCATCAAGCCAACTACACGGCAGCTGTTTCGCGTAGCACCATTTGTTTTCGCGAAAGAGCCCACGAAATGTGGGACCAAGGTTTTCGTGATCTACACCTGATGCCTGATTGAGCCCCTCCCGGTTGCCTTGTGAAGGGGGCGTATAAGCTGTATCGAGCATTTCGCATAAGTTTCGTCAATTCGCAGCTAGCTAAAAAGGACTCCCAGGTGCTTATATAAAGGATGTAACCACATCCGTTGACATTTTTACTTCAGTCTCTCCAGGTTGACTTCGGTCTGTTCGTTACTATTGGTTCATAACCACGCGACGCGCTTGTAACGTGGGTGCAACAGGCTGGGGAAAGGACCTCGGGTGCAGCGTTTCCATCCGGTAAAGAGCAAATTCGCGTGCATGGGGTGGGCATCAGCTGTACAAACCTTTTCATGGTACGAACGTTTGCGCGTGTGCGAGATGACCGAACTGCAACCGCGATAGGTTCGGACCCGACACCTTGTGGTGATCTCGAACCGTGGTCGAAGTGGAATTGAAATATGACCTCATTCGCTCCATTGACATCCCCGATAACAGAAAGACAAGGAGAGTGCAGGGAAATGATAACGGTTTCTGATGACAAAAAGCCAAGGCTTGTACTTGTACCCTTCGTGCTTGTACTTGTACCCTTCGTGAGCTGTAACAATCACCAAGTGTCGTTTAGCAGAGATAGAAGGCTGAGGAAGTTACAATTGCACAAAACATATAGCACGGGGGTTAATCTGACTGAGCACATTATGAATGCTTGGCAACAACTACGGTAAGTGCATTGTGCCGATAATGTTGCGGCAGAGATCGCTCATGAAAGCAAAACATCTCCCTGAAACTCTCGCGGAATCCTTCCACCTGGAGCCAGCTGGTTGGTGGAGTTCATTTGCGGCGCTTCATTTCCTCGTCCGCATCCTATCCTCCCACTCATGCTCCAATATGATCACATCACAGCCACGCACACTGTGTTCTCATTGCAGTGGTGCGCCTGGTCAGTGCAAGCAACGTGGCCATTCTTGCTTTGAGACATTTCAGTTCAGACGTCTCAGAACTCTACCCCTCCTCCTCGTCCTCCTCCTCATGCTCCGATATAATCACAACCGCACACGGCGCGTTCTTGCTGCAGTGGTGCGCCAGCTCAGTGTGGCTGACGTGGCCAATCTTGGACAGCACCTTCTGGATCGTGTTCTGCTGAGCTGGCTCGTGCCTGGAGATGCCACGTGTCGTGGCCAGCACGAGCACATCTGCTGAGATCATGTCGCAGAAATTGACAACCGCATTGGCCACAGACTTGGAATCCAGAAGAGCCACCTCGAAACGCACCTGAGGGGGCCAGGGGAGAAGAGGGGAGAGCACAGGCACGTCAGCAGAGATCATGTTGCAAAAACTGGGTACCACATTTTTTTGGGGGGGTTGATTTTGAGAAGGGGGGAGAGCACGAGCACGTGAGCAGAGATCCTGGCAGTCTGCGGCGAGGAAGAGTGTCCGCAGAGATCATGTGGCAGAAACTGACTGCCGCAGAGGCCTCGAACCGCACCTGGGGGGAGGTGGGAAGGGCAGGGCGGAGCAAGAGGGGGACTGTATGCTGTGCTGCGTGGGTTCATGCCTGGAGATGCCATGTATGCTGGCCTGACCAACACAAGCACGCCGGCTGAGATCACCCCCTCCCCTCTCCTCTCACTCACCTTTTCGAGAGACCATCCATGCTCTGATGACACAGGACAGCGCCTGATCCGCATCCATGCTGTTACCTCCCACCTCCTCCCTGCTCCCCATTGCACTCCCTCCCATATTCCCTCCCATATTCCCTCCCATATTCCCTCCCATATTCCCTCCCATATTCCCTCCCCAATCCTTTCCATCCCCCCAAATCCCTCCCCTCACCTGCTTATTGATAGAAGCCCCCACAAGCCTCAAAAGAGCCTGTTTCGCATCCCCATCCCACTGGAGTCTGGCGTCAGGCACAGCAACACGGGCGCCATGGCCTCGTCAATCACCGTCGTGCCTGTCCCAATCGTGCCTTACCACACGCACCCTTCCCTCCCCTCCTCTGGCATCCCTTGCTCCGACACCGTCTTTCTCCTTCCCCCCTCTCTCTTCCCCTTCCCCTCACAGTCTCGCTCACTACCCCACCACCCCACACCAAACCCCCTCCCCCCTCACCTTTTTCTCAATGGACACCCCCACGAGCCGGAAGAGAGCATGCTCGGAATCTCCATCCCACTTTAGTCGTTTCAGCAGCACGGGCGCTGTGGCCTCATCAATCACCGCTGTGCCCGTTCCGATGGTCGACACGTTGCTCACTAACGGCCCGTGCCTGGGCCCATCGTGCCTTACCAAACCCTCCTTCCTACCAAACCTTGCTCATACCCCGTCCTTCTCCCCCCCAACCCCCTCCAAATCCCCCTCCCCCCTCACCTTTTTCTCAATGGACACCCCCACAAGGCGGGAGAGAGCTTGTTTTGCGTCGCCGTCCCACTTGAGGCGTTTCAGCAGCACGGGCGCCGTGGCCTCATCAATCACCGCCGTGCCCGTCCCGATGGTCGACACGTTGCTCACCGACGGCCCGTGCCCGCTGCCCGCTCCGCCCGTGGCCGTCATGAGCTCTTTAAGCGCCTGCTCGCGGTCACTGCCGTCCGTGTCCTCTCCGTCCTTCATGGAGTCTGCAGGGGGGGAGGAGGAGGGAGGGGAAAGGGGGGCGTGGTATTGGTAAGGGATGGATGGACTGCTCACGGTCGCTGCCGTCCTTGCCCTCCCCATCTAGCCTGAAGGGGGGGAGAAAGGGAGGGGGGCGATGGGGGGCAGGTACGGGGAATGGGATGGGGAGGCGAGAGGGGGTATGGGGGATGGAAGATGGAAGAACTTTGTGGCAGTGGAGACGCACGGGTGAGGGAAGAGGGTGAAGTGGAGGTGGGTTTGGTTGAGCCTTGAGGGGCATTGGCAACAGCCCAGAGAGCAGCAATGGTTGGGGTGGGTGGGGTGTTGGACGCACCCCAGATGTGGGTTGTTGTGGGGAAGCTTCAACTCATGCTGCTGGATGGATGGATGGATGGATGGATGGATGGATGGATGGATGGATGGATGGATGGATGCATTCCGGGCGTGGAAGAAGAAACCTAAGCAGGGGATAAAATCTAGGGTTGGGGATGTGAAGCTGATCCTGGGGAGGAAATATAGGGTACGAATGGGGAATGGAATGGAGGAAGGAAGCGGCGAGGGAGGAGTGAGGGTGTGGTGAAGGAGGGTGGAGGAGGAAGGGAGAAAAGGAAGCGCGCGGCTTGCCTGCTCGGGGGACGCGGAGCGCGGATCGCCACGACGTGCGGTTGTGATAGAGCGCCACGATCAAACGGTCGTCGTGCTTCCGCATGCGCTCCTCCACGAAATCGCGCAGCGCGTCGATGCACATCTCGCAGCCGTCCATCGCCGCGACAATCGTACGGCCCTGATTGACGCTGAAGATGGTCGGCAGGCGGCTCTTGGCCATCATCTTGACCTGAGACTTCTTAAAAATCCGAAACCGCGCGGAAAAGTCTTACAAACGAATCGCGCTACGAACCGCAACCGCGAGAAACCCGTTCGGTTGAGGAGTCTCAAAATGCCTCTTAACGGACTTTCTTAAAATGAACCCTCTACCGCAACCGCGCCGGTCCTCTGGAGATATCTTATCTCCGCAAACACTAATTAAATACTGTAATCGAGCAAAGACCTACTGTTGTCTAGAGAAGACGATTCGAGGCTAGCCCAGTTGCCAGGCAGCCATGGCTGGTCTTGGGCGGCACGCACGCATGGCGATCGGGCCGAATGTCGCCCGAATGTCGCCCGAATGTCGCCGAATGTCGCCCGAATGTCGCCCGAATGTCCTTTGCCAAAGGCACCGGAAACAGCGCAAGGTTGGACCGTGGGTACTACCGTCTGCTGTCGTCTTTCAGAAAAGGCGCAATGCGGCTTCTGCCGTCTACTCGCGCAACGCGCAATGCGGAAACGTTGGCGGAGACTGGGAGAGGCTGGCGGTAGAATTGACCTGTCCACTAGCGGCAAGGAGACACGAGAGCGCTGCGACCCATGATACGCATTGAGGATAGATTGGAGCGCGCAACGTTTCAACTGGCTCGATGGACGAAAGGGTAAACTCGAAGCGGAGCTCGCTTTGCCTCGCAAGCCCTTGGGTGGGGTGGGATAGGAAGAATGCTCGTCCTCGGTCCGTCTGTCTGTCTGACTGTCTAGGTCATAATGCCGTCTTGAGCCTTGACCTGCTTGCGAGGAGCTGCTTTTGCTCTCGTTTTTCTAGTCGGTGGCAGTGGCGTTGAAGCAGAGAAAGAATGCGAATGCGCACTAAAGTGGCGGAATTAATCGACTATTTTGATGGGAGCAATGTGCTTGGCGCTGCGTTGCTGAGAAAAATAGGCGCTGAAGTTGGTGTGGCTGGGAGGATGGCGGTTGAAATTGCTCGATAGAAGAGTCACTAGGAACATATAAGGGTAGGAGAAGTATGCGGGTACATGAATCTTGTTCATTATACCCATTGTAATAAGTTCGTCCATTCAATTTAACAAATATGCGCTTTCAGAAGGGGAAAAATCATTTTATATTATGCATAGAAGCGTAACCGAGGTTATTGAGATTAAAATAAAAACATAGAGTAAGACATTTTAACAATCTGCAATCAGTATAAAAGCATATTGTTTTAATCAATTAGTAAGTAGGTTAGAACTTAGACATTGCATCACGATGTACCCTTATCTATGAGCCCTCATCAGCAGATATTTTTCCTCCCAGAAGCCGCACATTCTTCAAGAAGATCCCGCGCTCCTGGCAGCCCTGCTTGCACAAGCGCGTGCCATGCCATGTCATGCCATCTCCTCTTCCTTCCTCCCCTTCCCTGCATGCTCCCATTACCACAAAACCGGCCGACGAATTTGACAGTTCACCACCACGCCACGCAATCTCGGGACCGTTGTAATGCTCTCCGCCTTCTCCGCCATCAGGCGGCCATGGATTTTGCCGAGTCAAATACAGTCAACATCCTCGCTCGCGTGCCTTACTAAGCTATCTGTCGGGATAAAGTGTACCGTCTTTAACTTTCGGCATGGATTACCAGTCATTTATGCTGACATTGGTAACTCCAGTTACAAGGCGGACTCCCGAGGTTATTGTCAGGCTCCCTCGAGATTCACGGCTGTTTCAGGCTCGCGTCATGGTTTCTTTAACTACGACAACACTTCTGTTCACAACTACTATTCTATTATCAGCATTGGAGCTACCAAGGTTTCAACCTCGAGATTACAACACCTATTGCTGGAGCTCCTGAAGCCGGATAAGTTCAAGAAACTATTTAAGCTTCCTGTGCTCAGTCTTCCGGCATCAAGTGCATTCATTGAGAGTGCTCGGCACGCTCTCCTGCTGCCTGGTTTTACTCATCATTACACAATGACTCATCCGGCTGATGCTCCCAGTCTGCCTAAGGGACAGCGTTCGCGGCTGATCCCCGTTTTGCCTGCTCCAACGGAGACTGATAGCTCCAAGGATGAAAAGACTCCTGCAGTCCAAGACAATGACAAGACAGTGTCGTCAGGAGCTGGTGGTTCTAGACTGTCTGCTGAGGATAAGGCTAACACACCTTCCGTGGGTGTAACTGATGACGACGGCTTCATTGATGACGATTCCGACGACGAAATTGTTATCGACTTGGTTAAAGAGGCTGGTTTCGGTCTGCGCTCTGTCTCGATTCTGCTGATTCCCTTTTTGCTGAATAAGGAGATTTCCTGCATCATTGACGCTGTCAAGGCACTAATAACGCATGGATGGTACACAGAGTTATCAGAAGATGCGGCGACCACGACTAAGTTCCAGGAGATTAAGACGACGTATATCGCCAAGACGCGGTTCTGTCGTCTGCAAGTATCGTTCAAGAAGGAGTCTGATGCGGAATGGGTGCGGAAAAAGGAGGTGATATATCAGCCACTTGCGAACAAGGGTCAGCTTATCTCTCTTCACTGGCAACATACGGAGGATGCGGCTTTTTCTCGTGAGAAGGCTTTGAATCCGCTCGCCATCGAGTTCATGATCACCGGCGTCTCTGCTGCTGTTGAGCTGGTTCTCATCCATGATCGCCTGGCAACTTACCCGCTTACCAGTACAAAACGGTCGGCCTTCCTGCGCTGCTCGTGTCTGCATCGCGTGCTCCATCCTGTCACTGGTGCTGACACGGACGTTGTTAAAGGGCTGGTCTACGCTCACCCTGAGAACAAGAATCGTCGCATGATCCACATGATCGCTGATCCTGCCGACCGGGCCAAGAAGCTGCTCGTCCAGTACCCTTCATTGTCCTGCTCACTCTGTGGCGGCAAGCATTATGATAAGTATCATGATGCTTTTGTCACTGAGCGTCAGAACAATGTTAGCAAATGGAAACTAACTCTTGGCAGTGTGCACAGACTCAACGGTAACAGCAGCAGCCTTTTTCTCGCTAACTTTCGGTTTCGTCAAGCTCCTTCGCATACTAACCTTTCTCTGAACCCTCGCAGCTGCGTCGCTGAAAGCTTCATCGCTTTTCTTCCCCGTCCTCCGCGATCCGGCTATCGCTCTCGTCTCTACCGGCAGCAGCAGGGAAGATTGGATCTGCACACAAGCGGGTTGCGGAAAAACAAAAGGGAAGAGTCTTATGGCGGTCGTCCAGCACATCACTGCTGCTGCTCACCTGTTAGAACTGAAGAAAGACGGCTCAGCCACGAAGGAGTCGCTCGACAAACTGAACCTCGATGTCATTCGCAAGGAGTACAGTCTGTGACAGAGTTTGAGCGTTACCTTGATGCAGCAGCCTGTTGGTGCCTAGGAGTCAGTGTAGCTTGTGTCGCCTCACTTCTCAGCCTGTGGATGATCAGGGGCTGCAAGACAGTGTATCAATGATTAATAAAAACCACCTCACCATCGCGAGCCTGAACGTCAACGGCCTAGGAACAAATAGAGTAAAACAGGAGCGGGTTATCAAGTGGTTGAAAGACTCAGCGGACATCGCAGTACTGATAGACACTAGGATAGATGACGGACACTCTTTCTGGTCAGGACTCACCTCGTACGCAGCCTTAGTTAACCCCCCTAGAGCCAGCACTGGTGGAGTAGAGATCCTCTGTAGTGACGACAGTATTACATTCTGTGACACGGTGTTACATCCGTCGGGTAGAATAGTCAAGACAGATGTTAAGGGCGCGGGATTAGATCTCACACTGGTAGCTGTTTACCTTCCGTCGCACATTACGCCTCGCTCCGCTTTTATCAGGGACGCGCTTGGTTCGGTCATTGACACTGTCTCGCCTTCCTCCCACCTGCTTATCATAGGCGACTTGAACCTGACAGATGATCCAAAGCGGGACCGATCTTCAGGCTCAGGCTCGTCGGCTGAAAATGAGAAGCTCCTCCTGCGCTGCACATCCTTCCAACTTTCCGACGGTTTTCGCACTCTCCATCCGAGAGACAGAGAATACACCTTCTACGCGCACTCGCATCGCTGCAGCACCCGCATTGACCGCGCGCTTGTCTCACAATCGCTTTATCTCACCTCTCTATCGCCAGACACGACATGCCGAAGGAGCCTATCTCGGATCACGGCTTCGCGATTCAGGTCGCTTTCCGTCTGGATGAGAAAATCTGCATGGGTCCGGGCATCTGGAGGTTACACGCCTCAATGGTACGGAGGCCAGGGGTGCGGAAGATTATTGATGCCACAGTCCGGAGGACACCGGTAAATGACGGCAGCAGCTTCGAACTCCTGATTGCTCGTCTGAGGGCTGGTTTACGGACATATGCAAGGGAAGAAAGTAAACGGATTAAGAAGACGCTGGCTCACCTGGTCAGCAGAGTTGCGGTGCTGAAGCAGGAGTTGATGGGGAACCCCGGCTGTAATGTCACACGGGAAGCGTTGGCAGCTAAGGAGCTGCAACTGAAAGCATACCAAGAGGCTCGAAGAGAGAGACTGCATCTGCAGGCCGGGTTGTCGGAGGAGATGACTGGAGAAATTGCTTCGAAGCACCTGTCTGCAAAGGTCCGGGCAAGGAAAGCTCGTACACAGATCAAGGAGTTGAAAGATGGTGGTACTACAGTGACCGGCGTACAACACATTCTTGGTGCTGCGTCGGATTTCTTCAACAAAATTTTCGGCAAGGATCGCCGAACGGATTTCTCAGACTGGATTTTCAACCCGAGCAGACGCCTGAGGAAAGAGGCGGAGGCGATGTTGATGGCGGACTGGACAGAGCAGGAGGTGAAGGAAGCCTTCACGGCAATGGCGAGGAATAAATCACCTGGAGGTGATGGTCTTCCAAAGGAGTTGTTTGAGTGTCATTGGGATCTGCTGGGGGGGAGCTTCATGGCGCTGGTTAGAGATTTTGAGAAATCAGCATCCCTTCCGGTGGAGCTTAAAGAGGCGGTCACAATTTTGCTGCATAAGAAGGGTGACCGCGACCAGCTAAATAACTATCGGCCTATCACCCTTCTCAACTTCACGTACAAGGTGTTGGCCAGGGTGATGGCGGACCGGATGAAGCGAGTTTTGCATCAAGTCATCTCACCGGAGCAATGCGGGTTCCTTCCGGGAAGAAGTCTCTCAGACGCGGTTGCGCTGGTTGTAGACATCATTGATGTGGCGAAAAACGAGAAGGCCGACTGGTATCTGCTGCTGGTTGATTTTCAGAAGGCTTTTGACTCGGTGTTACGGGACTTCCTCTTCCAGGTGCTTCGGAAAATGGGATTCCCGGAGCGATATGTTGGCTGGATTGAAGGCCTGCATGAGAACACCACGACGAAGCTCCTGGTCAACGGCTGGTTAGGCGATGGACTGAATGAGGCTTCGGGGGTCCGACAAGGCTGCCCGCTTGCACCCTACCTCTTCCTGTGTGCAGTGGAGCCGCTGGCTCAGGAAGTGGAGAAGGAGAAGCTGGGGCACAGTAAGGAGGGGCAGCAACTCGGCTATCTTGGGTATGCTGATGATACTACGCTGATCCTGCAAGGAAAGGAGCAGATCGTTAAAGCGGAAGAGATTCTGGACAAATTTGAGAAAGTGGCTGGGCTGGCTACAAACAAAGGGAAATCGGTGCTGTTACCTTTGGGAGAGAACATTGGAGCTGTGGCGGATGGCTCGTCCAATTTCAAATGGGCGGGAGCGGATGATGCGGAGCGCCTGCTGGGTGTGTGGGTGACTCCTGCTGGGAACGGTCAGAAAACATGGGAGAAGGCGTTGGAACGCATCGCGAAGAAGCTGGTAAAATGGAAACAGAAGTATCTGACGACAGCGGCACGAGCGTCGGTGGTGAATTGCTACATCACCCCGCTGATCGCTTTCCAGGCCCAAGTTTTCCCGCCACCTGCAAGCATCTAGGACGATTTGATACGAATGCTACACGGATTCACGTCTTGAAACAGGGTGTCATCAGCAAAAGGTTTCTGCCTCTGGAGTAAAGTGTTGCTGTACACTACGAGAGCAGCGGGAGGAATCGGTGTAAGAGATCCTGAGATTGTTATTACCTGCCTGGCGGCAAGGAGAGCGGGGCTGTATATTACGGAAGACAACAGTCTCAAAAAGACCTGATGGTGCGGGCGGCGAAGCTTCCTCTGGGAGTGGAGTCTTTTCAAGCGCATGAGAAATTGTTCAAACACTGGGAAGGTGGCAGTATCCGGTGGAAGCAGACGTGTGAGAGCCTCTCCGGCTCGCCGTTGTGTCTGCGGGAATTGGCTACGACGAGGGACGAAATTCTTCGCGAACGGGTGGTTTTCAACAAAATCATCTAGCTGCGTGGCACCACGCCGATCGGAGGACAGAAAGATGGCAGGAAGCTATGGGGCCTGCGTGTGGGGGATCTGTTCGCTAGTAATGAAGCAGGGGCGCTGGAGCAAAAAACTGTGGCGGAGTTAACGGTGATTCTGGGCAGTAATAGCGCGGCGAAGCTAGCATTGAAGGCAGACGGTGCTCTTCCTGCCAAGTGGTACAGGGAGTTGGGGTTTCCGACCGTTCTTCCCAGCTCGGCTGACTCCCCTAAGCTGTTGAACATTTTGGTGGACGGGCGCATCATCCCCATGTTAGAATCTAGAGACAAGAATGAATGCATTGATCAAGAGTTGGGTACATAAGCTAACCCTAACATTGGGTTGTACCCCATATGGGCTACCCCACTAGCAGCCTACACAAACACAATATGCATAGTTTGACACACCCCCATAGGCAAAGTGGGGGAGAACAAGGGGTCACAAGACCAGTCAAGAGAAACAAACCAAGCTCAGGGTGGATCACAACGTCACCACACAGACTGAGCACAAGCAAAGGGCCACAAGGCCAGTCCACATGCAAAGGTATATATGCAACAAACAACCTAGCAAGAGCAAGCATGCAGGTATATATATATAAAGATCACAGTACAGACAGAGTCTACAGCAAGTGTGGAAACGTAGGCACAAGGCCCAACAAGGTACAAAAGCGCTGATGATCACCAGACGGAAGTGCCTTGGTGGCCCGAGTGGCCACGTGTGCAAGACGAAGCTGACCACGCTGCTGCAACTCTCGAGCCAGGAAGTAACGCAGAGCGATGTGCTTCGTTCTGTGCTCCAGTCTGTGCTCCTCACACAAGGCAATGGCTGCCTTGTTGTCAACGTACAGAACTGGAGGAGAACGAGGCCGCTCTCCCAGGTCGGTCAGCAGGTACGTGAGCCAGCGCAGCTCCTGAGCAGCCATGGCGGTGGCGTAGATCTCAGCCTCACAACTGGAGCTGAGAACAGAAGACGAGCGAGTAGAACGCCACGAAACAGAACCAGAGCCGAGGCTGAAAGTGTAACCCTGTGACGACCGCTGTGTAGCCTGGTCGTCAACCCAAGACGCGTCTGAGTGCCCAGTGAGGACCACCTCTCGCCGTCCTCCAAGCACGAGCCCCATGCCCGATGTACTGCACAAGTAGCGCAGTACCCTCTTCGCAGCATCCCAGTGCACCTTTCGGTGCCGACCAGGAGCCACGTAGCGGGCCAAAAGGCCAAGAGGGTACGCAAGGTCAGGACGAGTGCAAGTCATCAGGTACATGAGGCAGCCTACTAGCTCTGGGTAAGGACCACTCGGCTCTACGGACTCGTCCGAAGGTGGAGCTGAGAGCGAGTGACCTGTAGCCAGAGGAGTGGACTGTGGCAAGGACCAGGTGAAGCCGAAGCGCTGAAGGACCTGCTGCACCATGTGTGACTGAGTCAGAGTGATGGTGCGACGTGCTCTGTCCCGGGTGATCTGCAAGCCAAGGTAGCTGCGCAGCTCACCCAGGTCTGTGCACGTATGTCTCTTCTGCAGCTCCGACTTCACCAGGGCGAGAGCCTCAGTGTCAGCAGTGGCAAAGACCAAGTCGTCGACGTACACGAGGATGTAGAACGGCGGCAGTGAGGTGTCGGTGCGCAGAAACAGTGACGGGTCAGCTGTAGAGGGCGCAAACCCAAGAGCCGCAAGCGTAGTCCTCAGTGTGTCGTGCCACTCACGAGGCGCCTGACGGAGACCGTAGACTGGCCGGCGGAGGCTCCACTGGGTACCAGGAGGGAACGACCCAGTGAAGCCAGGTGGGCGGCGCAGCTAGATCTCCTCGTGCAGGCTGCCCTGCAAGAAAGCTGTGCTGAAGTCAAGCGAGTGAAGCTCGTAGTCACGCTGGGCGGCAACGTGCAGCAGTACCCGAAGAGTGGTCATCTTCGGGGTGGGGGAGAAGGTCTGGAAGAAGTCAACCCCCTCTCGCTGACTGAAGCCTCGAGCAACGTAACGTGCCTTGAAGACAGGCGGAGAACCAGGCGGCCGCTTCACCCTGAAAATCCACATGCCACTGACGATGTTCGCCCCAGGAGGGGGAACGTCGTCGACGTAGGTGCCTGTGGACTTCCAGGATGCCATCTCTGCGTCCATGGCTGCCTGCCACTGAGAGGAGTAGGGACCCGCGACCGCCTCAGCGTACGAGCGCGGGGTGGGGATGTCTAGTGCATCTGGGTCTCCCTCAGGGGCAAGCAGCATGGTCACGAGATGAGGCGCAGCGGCTGCAAGACACTCAAGGTCCTCGTGCCTGTCCTCAAGGACGTCCGTGCGAAGAGCACACTCACCCCCGACGGACGGAGGACAGACAGACTCAGACTCAGCGACAAGACTAGCAGCGTAGTCTAGACGACAGGCAGCCGCAAAGTCAACAAGCTCAGCAACCAAAGCAGTCGCAGCAGCAGACTCAAACGAGGGGTCAGTGACAACAGTGGCTAGCAGACACGTGACAGTAGGGTGCTCAGCACGAAACCGGTCAGACTCAGGGTCCGGAACGTGAGGCAAGGAAGACGCAGGAGGAGACGGCAGAGAAACAGACTGCGGAACAGAGGAAGGACGACGGACGACAAGGTGTGCGGTGGGGACAGGCGGCGAACGCGGACGCGGAACACGACGACCGGTACGACTAGGACGAACAGGCGAGACAGGACGCGACGCAGGCTCACGACGCTCAGCAAGACTACCGGTCTGCTCAGTGTAAGGAGAAGGAGCAGGCAGCGGTGAGCCAGGCTGTAACGGAAGACCAGTAGATGACGGGAGAGTAAGAACCTGACGAAGAACAGAGTCAGGCGGCGGCAGAGACGACGGAGACGGCGGAGCGAAGAACAGTCGTGGCGGCGCAGCTGCACCAGTACCGGCAGCTCCAGCAGCTCCAGCAGCAGAACCGACACCTCCAGGCCCAGGGTCTCCAACCCCAGTGCCTCCAGCAGCAGCACCCCCAGAACCAGTACCTCCAGTCCCAGGGTCTCCAGCCTCCACGTCTCCAGCAGCAGCACCCCCAGAACCAGCACCTCCAGTCTTAGGGTCTCCAGCCTCCACGTCTCCAGTAGCAGCACCCCCAGAACCAGCACCTCCAGTCCCAGGGTCTCCAGCCTCGGTGTCTCCAGCAGCAGCACCTCCAGACGCAGCACCCTCAGCCCCAGCAGCTCCAGTACCTCCAATACGAGCACCTCCGGGACCAGCGACTCCAGCACCTCCAGTAGAAACAGTACCAGCACCACTCCTAGCTCCAGGGACGGCAGCAGAAGTACCTCCAGCAGTAGAGCCCCGGGCTCCAGCAGCGCGACCCTGACGGCGACCGTACCAGTCGTGCAGCTGCTGCGAGGTGAGAGGCACACGTGGACGAAGGCGGCTACTCCAAGGAGACCGCGCAACAGCAGACTCTGAACCCTCAGCGCCAGCACCCTCAGCAGCTCCAGCGCCACCAGCACCAGGACCTCCAGCAGCTCCAGAACCTCCAGCGCTCGCACCCTCAGCAGCCCCAGAACCACCAGCTCCAGCACCTCCAGACCCCTCACACGCAGGCTCAGCACCTCCAGGCTCTACACCCTCAAGCTCCGCACCCCCAGGCTCCGCACCCCCAGGCTCAGCACCCCCAGACTCAGCACCCCGAGCAGGACCACCCCCAGCAGGACCTGAGTCACCAGTGACCTCAACCGGCGCAGGGAAGGGAGGAGGGTCTACCTGAGACACACCTGAGGGAGCAGGACCTGGAGCGGGGAGAGGGTCGACCTGGGGAGCACCTGGAGCGAGGAAGAGCGGCGGGGGAGGGAGAGGGGCAGTGCGGTAGGGGAAGAGACGGTAAAAGGGAACCGACTCGTCGAACGTGACGTCCTGAGACGCAAAGACACGACGCGAGGTGGGGTGGTAAAACTGCCAACCAGGCGCGTCTGGGACAAAGCCAAGGAAGACACAGGGAATAGCGCGGGCGGAGAGCTTGTCCGCAGTGGTATCGCGGACAAAGGCACGAGCACCCCAGACCCGGAAACGCGACGCATCGCCAACCTTCCCCGTCCACAGCAGTGTGGGCGAGGTCTCCGGCAAGGAGACACGGGGCCAGAGGTTGAGCTGATGCGCGGCGTACCGGACCGCAAACGGCCACAGAAAATGAGGGGCAGCCGCATGGATCATGGAGGTACGAGCGACCTCCATGACTAAGCCAATGCGGCGCTCAGCAACCCCATTCTGCTGCGGAGAGGCCGGAAGCGTGAACGTCTGGCGGACGCCGTGCTCCGCACAGTAGGCCGCCAAGAGGTCGGAGGTGAACTCACCACCTCTGTCAGAGTGCAGACGTAGGACAGGAAAGTCCCTCTCGAACCGCTCGCGGAGCTGGAGACGAACAGCGCGGATCCAAGGGATCAAAACATCAGGGACCTGACCCTTGCTGCGCAAGGGGAAGACCGTGGTGTAACGCGTGAAGTCGTCGACGACCAGCAGGAAGTACCGCTCGTGGCCCTGTCCACGGACGCGGGCTGGGCCCCACACGTCCATGTGGAGAGTCTGCAGGGGAGCCTCTGTGGGAGGGAACGAGGAGGAGTGAGGAGCGGCGCGCTGCCGCCCCT